ACACACACACACACACACACACACACACACACACACACACACACACACACACACACACACACACACACACATGCAGACATATATCGTAACTGTTCACTGTTGCTTTTTTGACAGCTGGTGAAATTTTACATTAAAGGTGTGGACATTTGTCAGTAAGCTGAGTCTAACTATATGTTTGTCACATTCACTCAAAAACCATATTATATCAATTGGTTCCACTCAACTGAATTGAGGAAAGACACATTTACTTTACATACTTTACATGTTTTTGGACCCTCACACAGCAGTAACAAGCACAAACACACAGACAGTTTTTGGCTTCCCAAGTTAGCTAAAATACTTGCCTTCACTTTTGCCATCTTCTTTCTAAAGGTGCAAAATTTCCCATAAAATGGACAGCTCCAGAAGCTATCAACTATGGCACATTTAGCATAAAATCAGACGTCTGGTCGTTCGGAATCCTGTTGACAGAAATGGTCACCTATGGAAGAATACCATACCCAGGTAAAGACAATAAAAAGTGAATTAAACAAAATAAATTCAGGTCAGTTTAGATGATTTCTTTTGTCCTGACTAGGAATGACCAACCCGGAGGTAATCAGGAATCTGGACAAGTTCTACAGAATGCCATGTCCGGATAATTGTCCCGAGGAACTATATGAAATTATGATGATATGCTGGAAACAAAAACCAGAGGAGCGACCGACTTTTGAATTTTTGCAGAGCACCCTCAACGACTTCTTCATTGCCACAGAGGGACAATATGAAATGCAACCATGAGTGGCAAAAAAAAGGAAGAAGTGTCTCAAATATAAAGAGTGTCAACTATCGTCTGTGACTCATACACATGATTTATTTGAAACAATTTCTCTGAAGGTCAAAGCTATTTTTGGCTTCTACTGTTGGCAGCGGAAACAAACGTCTTGAAGCAAATCAGAAACATAAACTCTGATTTTTGATGGCGTTGACTTCAAATTGTTTACGCCTTCTGTTGTCGAGTGAATCAATGTAGCATCACTTAGAATGTTATGTAAAAAGGTTAGAAAGCCACGGAAATACAACTTCAGCAAAAGCATGGTCGATGCTGGACCCGGAAGAACCGGTGACGGTAAAGATGGAACAGTTTCCTGGTGCATAAACCCAACAGCATGAGATTACATGCACAATACTTTGCACTTTTTGAATTCTTTATTCCTTTACTAGATATTGAAAGAATGAGCTTATCAAAAGGAGAAAAAAATACTCCTGCTTCCTTTTTTTATTAAAAATATTTGTGTGATGTTTTGTTCACCCTTGTGTTTTACATCAAAACTCATCACATTTAACTCACTGATGTGAAGAGTTAACGTGACAGTGTGGTTATGTGTGAAGTGATGTTCTACCAAATGGTTATAAATAGTCATTACCTTATCAGTCAGATTATGGAGAAAAAGGCACAATTCTTGTTTAGCCAGACAAGCTAGTTTTTATTATTTTTCAGGCTAATTAGAGGTGGGATAAATGGCTCTTTGAAGGGATTGGGATCTTGAGGAGCCGTTTGTTTGATACAGCCGTTCCAAAGAGATGTTCGAATTTGAACGAGTTACGCAATCATGTAGGGAAATATGTCATCACGTTACATGGGTGGAACCATGTGATTTGTCAAGCAGAACCCCACCCCCCCTTCCGAGCTGCCTTACTCCACCCCTCCTATCCGTTATAAGGAGCCGTTTGAAAGATTTGAATCATTCGTGAACTTCACATTTCTATTATTAAATAACTGTTTCTCAAAAACTACATACAGGTGTAAATGAAATTCGTCTCAACTAATGTTGAACAGCCAACATATACAGCGGGTAAAATAGGTATTGAACACGTCACCATTTTTCTCAGTAAATATATCACTAGAGGTGCTAATGACATGAAATTTTCACCAGATGTCGGTAACAACCCAAGTGATCCATACAAGAAATCAAACCATAAATGTCCAGAAATGAAGTTATTTGTAATAATGTGGAATGGCACAGGGAAAAAGTATTGAACACATGAAGAAAGGGAGGTGTAAAAAGGCATGGAAAGCCAAGACACCAGCTGAACTCTCTCAGTAATTAGAAAGCAAGCCTGCCCCTTGTCAGTGCCAGTTAATATCAGCTGGTTCAGTCCCAAATGATGACCAGGTATCACACAAGAACCATCTGATGATGGGTAAAAGTAAAGAGCTCTCTCAAGACCTTCACAACCTTATTGTTGCAAAGCATAATGATGGCATCGGTTACAGAAGAATGTCTAAACTTCTGAAGGTTCCAGTGAGCACTGTTGGGGCCATAATTCAGAAGTGAAAAGAACATTATTTCACCATAAACCGACCACGACCAGGTGCTCCTCGCAAGATTTCTGACAGAGGAGTGAAAAGAATTATCAGAAGAGTTGTCCAAGAGCCAAGGACCACTTGTGGAGAGCTTCAGAAAGACCTGGAATTAGCAGGTACGTTTGTTTCAAAGAAAACAATAAGTAATGCACTGAACCACCATGGCCTGTATGCACGCTCACCACGCAAGACTCCACTGCTGAAGAAACAGCATGTTTGTATGTATGGATCACTTGGGTTGTTACCAACATCTGGTGAAAATTTCATGTCATTAGCACCTCTAGTAATATATTTACTGAGAAAAATGTTGACGTGTTCAATACTTATTTTACCCGCTGTATTCCTGTTACTCATATGTGCATGTTGCCAAAGGTGCTGCAAAACTTAGGGGGTTACCACACGGTTCTTTCATAGCCATATGTTGTTTTTGGAAAAGATTTGTTTTTTGAAACACATATTTAAAAAAATTGTCACAACAATTAGCCCGGAGGACATTTTTACGTCCTTTTCTCCACACTCTGCTCTTTGATTGATACGACTGACATTGTTCAGCATCAGAAAGATCATCACTTCAAAAATGACCAAACTATCCCTTTAACTGGTTCACAAAGAAACAGAATGACTGAGATGTTTAATGAATCGTGTACAGCATAAAAAGGAGAGAAACGTTTAAAGCGTCTCATGCCCAGCAACTTTGACAGAACAAAAAAATAAATAAAAAGGGTTCGACATTCACACGATTCACCACACGAAGATAGAATCTCCTCGTTTCGCTTCACCACATTAACCAAATTGAAACAGTTGACTTATTTTTGCTTTTAATTTTCTTAAAGATAACAGAGAAAATATAACGTTACAATGAATAAACCAACCACGGCAAAACCAAGATGGAAAAATACAAGTTTATCTCAGTTTTCAGTATGAAAGCCTGTACAAACGTGAACTACAGGAAGCTTTTAAAAATAACAAACTTTACCAAATTACAGAATTTTTTTTATCTTTCAGGCCTCCCAAAGGGCCCCAGACAGCATCTTGACGATAAGAAAGTGGAGTTGCTGTGGCAGCCAAGGGGGGTAAAATCAACCATTTCCTGAATGGACAGGAAACAGGAAGTGTGACTCAGCATTCCTTAAATGCCACACAAAACGATGGCCCTTTGACTCACCAAACTGTGACATTTGGACATTTTTGGGTTGCCAAAAAATACTACAGGTGGGCCTGATTGAAATAAAAAAAAGTTTACTTGAATGGCATCCCTGTTCTACATCCCACAGCAGTCATTATTATCAAACCAATACTCATAAATTACTTGAATCAATCTCTTCATTTACAAGTCTAACATCCTTATGAATGCATATCATCCACAATGTTTCACATCAAGATCATTTTAGGTTGAGAAAGGACGGAGTTGAACCTCTTTTCCTCAAATATTTCAAAGCCAAAGTCAAACTTAACCCTATTTAAATTATTTAGTAAAGTAAATTAGTTTATTGGTAGTCTAGAAGTTTCTTCTTTTTGATGTGTGTGTGTGT